ACTCAACTTTAGGAAGAAAAATTTGAGAGTGGTATGTAGGTTAGTAGTAATCTTAAAGGCATAAATACCAATTATAAGAGGCCATTATAATAGTTGAAGAAACGGGAAATAAAGCCCTAAGTTAGTGATGTCTGTAAAAATAAGAAAAGGTTGTAGTGTGGTTACATGGTGAAATTTTTGTTTTGCTTCCCCGGTAGATTAAGATCCAGGATCATGCATTTCTTGTTTATTCTTTGTTTTTAGCCCCTGGCAGAGTGAATGCCTCTGTAAAGAATGCTCCCTTAAGGAAGCGTGGTTCTGATGTATTGAATTGCTTTTGGATTTACGTGCTGTGTAAATGTCTCTGTGAAGATGGGGGAGTAGTGAGTGTGTCCCTTTGTTGGGAAAGGCTTACAGAGGCTCTGATGTGACCCAAGCTGCCCTGAAGGGTGAGTAGTTTAGGATGAAGGTTGTCTTTGGTGAAGGGATTAGCATGTATTGAAAGTCTATGTCTTAGCAGTAGGTTTGCTCTGATTAATTTAGGGTGGCATGTGTGGAAGTGGTGGAAAATGAGTGAGAAAATACTTGGCTAAGTCCAGATTGTAAAGGACTTTGAAGTTTGAACTTTAGGTAGGTAGGCAGAAAGGGCCGTCTTAGGTTTTTGAGCAGGAGAGTGACAGGAGCAGGCATCTGTCAGGAAGATAGACATAGAGGAGGTTGTTGAATAGTTGAAGCTGAGAAATGAGGAGGGTCTAAATTACCTTCAGTAGCGGTAAAACTGGAGAAGATAGGTTTAGAAATCTTGAACAGGTAAGGATCAGTCAGATTTAGTGAAAAATTGGATAAGACCTTGTGAAAAATTGGATTGGAAGAAGTAAATTGGCACCAAGGTTAGTGTCACTACCTTTTCAGAAAAGCCCTAACTTGTAGCTCTGAGAGGAGCCTGATCAGTCAAATAAATAAAGGCTCTTTGTGCACGTGAGTTGTTTCTTCCTGCTTCCCTCCCTTCCTTTCCTTTGCCCCTCTCATTTTTTTTCTCCTTTATGTTTGGGAAAGAGGTGAAGCACACAGAATGGAGGAGAAAATGTGAAAAGCATGTAAAGGAAAAGAGAGATGTTAAATTTAGTGTTTTATCTTATTAGTTAAGATTGGCTGTAACTCAGTCTCCTTTCTTTTGAAAAAAATCTGGCCAATAGAATTAAAATAAATTATTTAACTTGAGTGCCTTTTAACAAGAAACACATTTTTGTATATGGCTGAAATAACGTCACAGAATTATGCGTTAATATTGTAAATATGAACTAGGTATTAAATATTTCTCTAACTGTCCACAAAATGTCCTTTATAGCTGTTTTGTGGATACTGTATAGGGACCATTCATTGCATCTGATTATATCCCTTAATTCTCTTCAAATCTAGAATAGTTCTGATACCAGCTTGTTGAAGGCAGCAGACCAGTTATCCTCCAGGAAGTCCTACATTCTCATTTTGTCTGATTGCTTCTTTGGTGTCATCTAGCCAATTCCTCTAGTTTTTAATCAAGGTAAACGTTGTTGATGTGTACTTCATATTCTGTCACATCAAGAGACCCAGTATCTGGGGGCCAGCCCTGTGGCCTAGTAGTTAAGTTCATGCGTTCTTCTTCGGTGGTCCTGGGGGTTCGCGGGTTTGGATCCTGGGCCTGGACTGGTGCGCCGCTTGTCGAGCCATGCTGTGGTGGCATCCCATATAAAGTAGAGGAAGGTGGGCACGGATGTTAGCCCAGGGCCAATCTTCCTCATCAAAAAGAGAAGGATTGGCATCATATGTTAGCTCAGGGCTGATCTTCCTCACACACAAAAAAAGACAGAGACCCAGTATCTGGCTCTCCCCCCATTAGTGTTGTGAAGACTGATGAAGAGGGTAACAGTTGATTCCTCCCGTGAACATTTTCTACCTTATGAACAGAAGACAATCTGGGTGGTGGTGGTACCTTAGCATTATGCCAGTGCTGATGATTCATCTCCTGGTTTTAACCCAGTTTATAATCGTTGCCTAAAAAAGGTCTGTTGGGAATTACAAAATGATGTTGCTTTTGTTTTTTTAATTCTTTCATTCTTCATTTATTAGCTGTCATTCTTTTGTAAAGTAGTACTTTCCTTCAACTGGGGCTGTTTGATTACTCTGAAATGCAGTATTTGCTGAAAGGATAAACGCTTACATCTTTCTCTTCAGTTACCAATTTTCTTAGTTTAATAGCTGCCTCAGATGGTGGCTGATTTGTGCCTATGGCCTTTCCCTTCCTCCTCCTCCCCTCCCCCCTCCCTCCCCCTCCCACTTCACCCCCCCCCTTGCTTTCTTCTTGCCTTGAGTACTGCAGTAGTCTAGTTTCCTCTGCTACGGATCGATCTTTTACATCACTGCCAGCTCTGTTTTCTGCAGCACAGATAATTATCATGTAATCCATAAAGTTTTATTCAGTGTATTTTATTGCGTTATAATTATGATTCTTTTTACTCAGATTGTTGCAACTTTGGCCAGTGAGGTCCCCTTCTAGCTGGCTCCTGTATCACGTTGACATGACACGATGACCCTGTTAGACTTAGCTTTTTGGCACTAAAGGATGTCCCAGGCTCATTTTATGCATTTCCTGCCCCAGACTTTTAATTGATTGTTTAACAAAAACTTTGCTTTCTTGGTATGAGAGATCAAAATCGAGGATTAAGAGTGCCATTATTCCAGAGGTAACATTGCTTCTAGAACACTTCAGTGGATACTTAGAAACAAATTAAAAATTGTGAGTTTATATTAATATTCTGAAGTCAATTTTAGTATTGGTGTTTTCATTTAATTTCCTTGATTTGTAAATATTTTGTTACCCTAAAAATCTTGGTTCCTAATATTATTAACATAAGTACTTATTTGCTTAATCCTACAATATAAAGTAAGTAATTCAGTATAATACCAATAGTTTACTTAACATCATTCTTTTCACAGCTGCATGATTTTCCGTAGTATGGCTGTACAGTAACTTATTTAACCACATATTCTTATTAATGGTCATTTAGGTTATTTGCATTTTTGTCCTAAACAATGCTATAGTGAGTAATTATTTAGAAAAAGTACCTGGGTTGTGTATTTTCTTAGTCATTGCTTGCCTGAAAATGCCCTTTTGTTTGTCTTCACACTTGACCAAGTGTTTGAGGATAAAATATTTTTTAGTTGAGGTAAAATTTACATAAAATGGGCAAGTATAGACCTTAACTGTACGGTTTGAGATTTGATAAATATATATATCAATATAAACCACACCTCATTTAAGATATCAAATATTTTCATCACTCCCCGTAAGGGCAACCACTGTTGTCACTACAAATTCACGTAAATGGAATCTCTTTTGGGTTTTTTTCATTTAGTATAATGTTCGAGATTCATCTATAGTTCATTCTTTTTTTATTGCTGTGTAGTATTCAATTGTATGGATATATCATAATTTGATTATCCTTTCACTGTTGATGGACATTTGGGTTGTTTTCAGTTTTTAGCAATTATGAATACAGCTGTTACGAACATTTATATAAATGTCTTTTTGTGGACATATTTTATTTCTCTTGGGTAAATGCCGAAGGGTAGATTTGCTGAGTTACAGGGCAGGTAATTACTATCTTCGATGTTATGTTAGTCATTTCTTTGCTTTTCTTTTGTTTTTCCAAAAGAAATTTAATTTTGCCTATTTTTGCCTTTTTTGTTAGTAGGAATTCTGTTTATGTATTCTTCTGTCACTTGCCTTTTTTGCCTTAACCTTGTTTTAGAAATCCTAATATTCAGGTACTTATTTTTTCCCCATTAGGTCTGCATCCTACCTTTTTATCTCAATTTGTCTTGTCCCATACTTGACTTCTTTATTTGTAGTTTTTGTTTATGAGTTTCATGTTCTCTTTAACTTGTTTAAGCACGAGAATCACTTTTTGTGGAATTCTTTTTCTATTTCTGTAGTATTTCTTTTTTTCTTTTTTGTAGTGTTGATTTGTGTAGTTATTATGCTGCGTGTGTGTTAAACTTGTATTTGACACTGGACACTCCATGTTGACTTGCTTTTTGTTCAGATACGGTGTGGGTGGCACCTGTGTTGGTTTCCCATCAGAGATTCATTTTGAAGGTTAAGTATAGATGGCGTCGGGGAGAGGCAGGTTGTGGCACACCTGTTGGCTATGGGCAGTTATGATTGGTGGATCTCAGCGCTGATTTTTGTAATTACATATCCTTTTCCCATGGGGAGCATTCAGGTATTCAGTTGTCCTTCATGTTGATTGAGCATAAGTTTGATTCCTGACAGAAAAATAGACCGGAGGCTCCTCTCCCCTTTCCTTATGTCTCTGTCTCCAGCAGCTATTTCTTTCCACTCACTTCTAGCCAGAGGATGGCTAAAATAGGTTTAATTTAAGGGCTATAACTAGAAAACTATTAATCTATTTGGGGCTATGGGTGGGGGGAAGTAAGTTTTTACATTGGGCCTTTGTGGATATCTTCATTCCAGTCTGCTTCTTTAGTTGTTCTTATTTCTTTTCTCTTTACTTTAAATTCTGATAAATCCCTTCTAACCCCTCCCTATGATTCTTATCCCAGCACCCTCACTGTAGCTTGTGCGCGCGTGCGCGCGCGCACACACACACACACACACACACACACACAGCATTTCTGAAATTGTGGGGTAGAGACAATTTGGATTCTTGAAGTTTTTCTCCCTTCTTTGAAGTTTATGGTATGCAGTTAGGCCACCGTTAGTTTAAATGCTCCAGGACAGTTAGGCCACCGTTAGTTTAAATGCTCCAGGACGGATAGTCTTTTATTTGTTGTGTTATGGTCTGTAATTTTGCTTTGCAACACTGACTTTCCCCAGGATGGTCGTAGTTCTGTGTTTTTAAGCCATTTCATAAAATGTTCAATTATGAAAGCATATATTTCTATGCTGGTAAATAATGTCCTGTGTTTCTTTAAGGTAAATACTTATTCTAAGATTATGAAAAACTGTTTCTCTGAGATCTAGAATGAGGATGGGTTTATTCTGCCAGGATTAGTGGTGGTGTCTGACATTGGAGGAGTAGGAGATTGACCAGTCCGATGTTATATACTGGCTAACTCTGGCCTAGCTATGCTTTAAAAGTCTTTGGTAATTCTTCTTGACAGTTTTCAAGTCTAGTTTGGAAACCTTTTGTTCTTTTTAGGTAATAATCTGCAGTGACATACTATGTTTTTTAGAGAGCAAGATCAGCTTGTTGATTTCAGAGCCTTGGGAAAACTCCTAAATTGCGTGTATTCTTATATCCTTTCTTTACCTGGTCGTCAGTGCTGTGTTTTGTCGGACTCCCAGAAAAACAGTGGGAGTGCTCAGTAGGCAGATGTGCTCCTTTTGCTCCTTCAAAGAGCGTGACTGTCCAGTGTGCTACCATTCCTTCTATTCTATCGTAGTCTTTCTTCTCCCTACTTTCTAGTCCTTATTCTCAGGGATTTGGGAAATAGAGAGGATTTCCTCACTGCTTTCAGGCTTAGAGTAATGGGTTGTCTCTTAAATTTTAAGACAACCCATCTCACGTTATGAAAAACCAAGAAAGAGAGTGGCTGGCTATCTAGGCAGAAATCATGACTCTTTGATGGAATGACCCCAGGTCTGGGGCCTAGTTTTCAGATATCTTAGTCCAGTAACAGTTTTATCACTTCTCTGAAATATGATCAAACTCTGGACGTTAATTAAGCTCACAAAAGATTGGTAAATCAGACTTCTGAACTTTCACTAAGAAGTCACATGATTAATAGGACCAAAATACTAAACTCAGCTGGACAGAGCAATTTCTTATCATTATTAAATTCTATTTGGAAAAGCCAATGAAGATCAGATGGTTGTTTTGTAAGTAGAATCTGGTCAGAATAATGTCGTTTGGGTGATCTTAAGGGATGTTGTCATCAAGCTCTGGTATCCTTACACAGCATTTTATATTTTCTAGGTTATTGCTGGTATATTCCTATCATTCAGAAAAAGCACTTTCTTTGTTGCCAGAATGTCTTCTAGACAGAATGGGAACAGTTCTTGACTGTATAGCTGTGTTAGGTATTTTCTGTCAGTCTAAAAACTCCAATCATTGTGATTCTGTTCTGAAGAAGTTAACGTATAAGATAACAGTTTGTTTTATCAGAAATATTTAACAAAAAAACATAGGTGTGCTATTACTTATGAAGATGATTAGTCTCACCATTTTTATTCTTACTTTTTTCAAGCAGCTTTTTAGGATTATTTAACGCCTTGTGTTTCACCTACATGGTCAAAGCCCATTTCTATGTTTGAAAAATAGCCCTACTTCCCATTGGTGGGGAGGCAGTATAGCATAATCAAAGTAGCTTTGACTTTTTTCCCTTTTTTGTTTCTTTTTTTTTGGTGAGGAAATCAACCGTGTGCTAACATCTGCTAATTCTCCTCGTTTTTTGCCGAGGAAGACTGGCCCTGGGCTAACATTCGTGCCCATCTTCCTCCACTTTATATGGGACACTGCCACAGCGTGGCTTGCCAAGCAGTGCGTCGGTGCACGCCCGGGATCTGAACCGGCGACTCCCGGGCTGCTGCACCTGAGAGCGCACTTAACCGCTTGCGCCACCGGGCCGGCCCCTCCCTTTTTTCTTATTGTGAGAAAATATGCATAACATAAAATTTACCATCTTAACCATTTTTAGTGGTTCAGTGGTATTAAATACATTCATAATGTTGTGCAACCATCACCACCATCTATCTCCATGACGCTTTTCTTCTTGTAAAACTGAAACTGCACCCATTTAACAATAACTCCTCATTCCCCCTCCCCCAGCCCCTGGCAACCACCATTCTACTTTCTGTCTCTATGAATTTGACTACTCTTAGTACTTCATATACATGGAATCATACAGTATTTGTCTTTTTGTGATTGGCTAATTTCACTTAGAAAGTAAGTTTAACTTTTAATCAGATACATTCAAAGCCTGACTCTGCTACATCTTAGCCTTGTAATGCTGGTTAAATTGCTTAAACGTTTTTGGGCTTCAGGTTTCTGTTAGTAAAATGGAGTTAATTCCAACTCTACAGGAAGAATTAGCAAAAAACTAAGTCCAGAATGGTAAGAGGACAACCAAGAGAAAAGATATCCTGGAAGCCAAGTGAAATAAGTGTTTCTAGGAGGGAGTGATCATCTCCGTCAAATACTGATCATAGGACAAATAAAAGGAGGTCCGAGAAATGATGATTGGATGTAACAATGTGAGGTCACTGGTTTTTTTCTGGACAGTTTTTGGTAGAATGTTAAAAGCACTTACTGATTTGAAATGAGTTTAACTGGGAGATGATATACAACTTTTGAGGATTTTTGCTTATAAAGAGAATGAGAGAAAAAAGTGTGGTAACTGGAGTGGGAAATTGGGTCAAGACTTTTTTTTAACAGAAGAAATAGTACCATGTATGTGTATACTGAAGGTAAAGATCTACTATGGAGGGGAAATTTGACGTAGGAGAGAATTGCCGACTAATGTCCCTGAATAGGCAAGGTGATAGGCTGGGATTAAGTGCTAAGAGGGCAGGCTGTTTGTCCCTGGTAAAAGAGTATAGGTGGGTGTAGGTGGGAGTTCACAGAAGGGCCTCTTCTGGTTGTTTTCTGTTTTGATGAGAAAATAAAAGTAAGAGAGGGAAGATGGAGGAGTAGGTGTTAGTAGTTTGAAGAGAGAAGTCATGTAGGAGAAGGGGCTATGAGAATTTACAGTATAATTTCTGGGCAGCATGAAGAGTCCAGTTGAGGTAAGTGATTGCCGACTGGCTCACTTTAAGATGGTAGGTTTTCCTCCAGCTATGTTTAGCTGTGTAGGTGTCCAGAGGAGGTGCAGAGTTGGTTAAAGCGGGTTGTGCTTCATCCAGACGTATATGGTGAAGTGAGACCAGGGCAAGGAGTTTGGGGGAATATGCAAGGGGGTGAGATTTCATTTTACGTAAATTTTTCAGAGTGTGTCTGTAACACGTAGGAGTTAAAAAAATAACCACAAGTGAAATGAATAGTAGTCCATTAATATAGACTTATATTTAGTTCTTCAAATTTGTCAGATTCTCAAAAATGTTTTTTTACACTTGCTTTGTTCAAATTGAACCCAAACAAGGCCTGTACATTGCATTTGATTGCTGAGCCTCCAAAGTCATTTAATCTATACCAATTTCCTCTTACTCCGTTTTCATGTCATTCATTTGTTGAAGAAATTGGGTCTTTTCCCATTTTGTTCTTCCCATATTCTGCATCTGCCTGGCTGTATTCTTGTGATGGTATTTTAAAATTAAAATTTTTAATCGTGGTAAAATATACATTATAAAATTTACTATCTTAACCATTTTTAAGTGTACAGTTCAGTAGTGTTAAGTATACTCACGTTGTTGTGTCGTGTTATTTTTAAGATGTTCTATCTCTTATTTTGTGTAAACTGATACCAGATCTAGAGAGGCTTGATTTGATTCAGGTTCAGTTTTTTATTTTAATCTTTTTAGATGAGGGGGCGAGGACATACACAGTGTTGGCACATAGATCTAGTTGTCTTAATGATGAGATTGATCATTGGGTTGAGGTCTTACAGCCTGATCTATCCGTTTAAAAATTTTCCTATGGATTTTTTTCATCTAATGCTTTTATTAACCATTGATGATCATTGCCTAGATCCATTTTTTCGTTAGGGGTTGTGAAATAGTAATTTTGTAATTATATAACTTTTTTTGCATTTATTAGCTGAAATTCTATTAAGAACATTCCCTCATCTAGTTTTTGCCAGAAATGCAGGATAAATGCTTGACTCTTTCCCTTTATTTTCCAATTTTCAGGTGACAGGTTTTTTTTTTAATTAAAGTTTTGAATTCATGCAGTTTATAATGACTCGTAGTCATTATTTTGATGTTCAGATTGTCTGATCTGTGGCCAGTTGGGAGCCTTTCCAGGTTGGCTCCTGTGTCCTTCACCACCGCAGCATCTTTGTTAGCATGCAAGGCTTGTTTGTATCCTTCCGATCCCAGACCTGAAATCCTCCTTTTCTCCAGGGAGCTCCTAGTTCTTTCTGGTGGGAAACGGTATTTAGAGATCATAATATGGGTATCTACTGTTTAAAAAGATGTTATTATTTTTAGTTATTTGATCCTTCAGAATACTGATTAGTTTCGTTTCTTAATTCAACAGGCATGCCCAAAGAAAAATACGAACCCCCTGACCCTCGGAGGATGTACACAATTATGTCCTCTGAGGAAGCAGCAAATGGAAAGAAATCACATTGGGCAGAGCTTGAAATAAGTGGTAAGATGTGCAAGCATAAATGTATTGTATGGAAGTTAAGATATGTTAGAAAATTAAGTTTTCTAATGCCAATACACAGAAGAAGCAATGTTATGTTTTACCAATTGTGTTTTACCGATGCTAATTCATCTTAGAAGCAGGAAGGTTGAGTGGAAAGAAGATGGTTTGAGTCAAAAGTTCAAAACCCATTCATTGCTTAATAAACCGGGGATAGTAATACCAAGGATGAAATAAAAATAATACATGTGAAGTACGTGACGCACAAACGTTTGTTTTGATACTTAATTCTCTGATGAAGTATGACTGAGCTTTTGCATTATCAAATTAGATTTCCAGTGGGATGGGAAATGCCTGTTCTAGTATAGGTTCTGGGATGGATTTGTTTCTCCTTGTTTTCTGCATCTGGTTTTTAGTCTGAGTCTCTGGGGACACCCTTATTCAGAAACACAAAATCTTGAAAGAGTTTGAAGCAGATCTCAAAGTTCCCTTCTACCTTTAATGCAGTCTAGGCATGTTTAAAGAAGTATATGAGCCCCCCGATCCACAGAGGATATCCCCAGCATCCTTGCTAGTGGGCATGCAGCCTCTTTAATACTTCAAAGGTGGTGAAGGGACGTTATTGCTTCTTAAGGCAACCAGTGCTGAAGAAGTTTTCTGTTCATATTGGCCTCATCTGCATCCCCATACTTTCCTTCCAGTTTGTCTTGATTTTTGCCTTCTGAAATAATACAGAGCAGTTTTCTCTTCTTTCATATGACTGCCCTTGATTTTTTTTTTTTTTTTAATATAATGCAGGAAACATACTGAGCATATGCTATGTGTGAAACATTTTTCCAGGAACTGTACTAGGCATATGGAAGATATATAGATGAAAAAAACACACAGTCCTTGTCATTTGGATCCCATGGCATGTTTGTTTTTTTAGTGCCGTTGAGTTGATTCTGATTCCTAGTGACCCCCGTGTGCAGCAGAGCAGAACCACACCCGGTCTTTTTGTACCATCTTCTCACCTTCCGGCGCTATATCAGACAATGCTCCCCTGCTATTCATAGGGTTTTCATGGCCAATTTTTTTTTTTCTTTTCCAAAAGCGGGTGACCAGGTGTTTCTTCCTAGTCTGTCGTGGTCTGGAAGCTACACTGAAATCTGTCCACCATGGATGACCCTGCTGGTATTTGAAATACTGGCGGTATAGCTTTCAGCATCACAGCAACATGCAGCCACTGCAGTATGACAACCGACAGATGGGTGGTGTGGTTCCCTGACTGGGAAATGAACCTGGGCTGCAGCAGTGAGAGTGCTGAATCTTAACCACTAGACCACCAGGGCTGGCGTATTAGGGAGTGAGAAGAAGGGAGTGTACCAGTATAAATAACTCTTAGAGAAAATATAACTGCCAAGTCTAGGTAGAAGAGTGCTGTACAGGAAGTAAAAAGGAAGTAATGGTAATAGTACTCTTCCCTTGTCAGCTCAAAATTTCTGGTTAACCTATTGAATAAACCTAAACACCCTCCTCTGCAGCTGTGGTAGAAGTTGGTAGCCACGTGGGTCTCTCCTGTTTTCCCTCTTCCGATTTTTAGAGTGCTGGCCTTAATTAAGCTGAGTTTATTTTCATAAAGTAGGTGTGGTGCAGAGTGAAATTTCTCTCTTGTTTCCCCTCTCTTGTCAGGTTTGATTTTCTGTGTCAGGGGAGCCCAAAGAGAAACATGCTCTCTAATACCAGTTACCTTCAAAGCGCAGGCAGTGGTCACTCACGCTTTCCCCGTTTAGTTTCTGCAGTATTGGTATTTAACTGTATTTTTCTCTTTTTTCAACCTATATTCGCAGTTTTTCTATTACAAGTCCTTTTCTTGTAGAGAAATTTCTCCTTCTTATAACACCAGGATAAGCTAGAAAGTACTCACTTAGGTCAGTGAGATTATATCTCTGAGCTTAGTTAAGGGGAGTCTCCTCCACTCTCTCCTCCCTCTCCCTAGTGTTGACACCTCTTTGACAATTTTAAGTCACTGCTCTCTGCTTACTCTGAACTTTGGGATGAAATGTGCGTACCAGATAGGAAGGAAGAGGGGAGATTCCTTTACAGTTGCGTTCTTTACCAAGTGTCATGGAGGATAAACTATTGGTTGAATAGGTTTGTGGAACAGGACCTTGTAATTAACAAAGCCACTGTCAGGAAGGTCACTTTATTGTCTTAGTCCTTAATACATAAGCTCCTATGTGTAGAAATTGTCAAGGCTGAATTCAATTCATGCTAAGACAGTTATTTCATGTTTTACACCTATGCTTTAGCATCAGTTCCTTAAGATTGTGTGATACGAAGTTGTAGGGATCTGAGGTCATTGACTCCTGGACCTGCAGTTATCTGATATGCTTCTCTGGTTCCAGGGGGATGGGTGGTGAGTTCCTTGTGCCATTTGGAGATAACTAGATAAGCCAAACGACTATTAATCATTTACTTTTTAAAGAAAGCCTTTTATTATTGTAAAATGAAACACAGATGAAGAAAACCACACAGACAAGTATATTAATGAATTATTATAGGACCAGAAGCCTTGTAACCACTACCCAGGTCAAGAATTAGAACTTTTTCACTTACCCCAGAACCCCTTCCATATGCCACAGCCAGTCACAACACGCTCCCTGCTCTCAAAGCTAACCATTATCCTGACTTTTATAGTGATCGTTTCCTTTGTTTTCCTTATAGTTTTAACACCAGAGTGTGTGTACCTAAACATGAGAGTTTAGTCCCTCCGCCTTTTTAACTTGGTCTGTCTTAATTTGCAGGTTTCCCTCCTATCCTTTTCTTTTCCTTACAGTTTATCTGTTGAAGCTGGCTGGTTTTACCTGTTGTTTCTCTACAGTCTGTATTTTGCTGACTGATACTCATGCAGTTCAACACATTTCTCATCCTCAGCATTTCCTGCAAATGGGCAGTTGGATGCAGAGGCTTCATCAGACTCAGATTTAAGCCCCTTGGCAGGACTGAAGCTGGTGTTGTGTAGGTGGTATTATGCTTTTTCTTCAGGAGGCACATAAGGTCTGAAGGCGTTCTTTTCTACTGATGTTGAGTGCCTAGAGCCATTAATTATTTGAGGGTTGCAAAATAGTGATTTTCTTTCTTTCTTTCTTTCTTTTTGCTGAGGAAGACTGGCTCTGAGCTAACATCTATTGCCAATCCTTTTTTTCTTTCCCCCCAAAGCCCCAGTAGATAGTTGTATGTCATAGAGCACATCCTTCTAGTTGCTGTATGTGGGATGCGGCCTCAGCATGGCTGGAGAAGTGGTGCGTCAGTGCACCCCGGGATCCGAACCCAGGCTACCAGTAGCGGAGTGCACGTGCTCAACCGCTAAGCCATGGGGCTGGCCCCAAATAGTGATATTCTAATTCTGTCATTCTTTTTCTTTAAGTAAGCTCCATCTATGAAGAGATGCTTTCCCTCATTTACTAATTAATTACCAATGTACAATTTATATAATTACCCAATGTACAATTTATATAGGAAAGGCAGAAAAGAATGCTTGTTTTCTTTCTTTCTTTCTTTCTTTTTTTTTTTTTTTTTGGTGAGGAAGATTGGCTCTGAGCTAACATCTGTGTCCATCTTCCTCTATTTTGTATGTGGGACGCCACCACAGCATGACTTGATGAGCGGTGCGCTCCCAGGATTCAAACGTGCGAACCCCGGACCACCGAAGCAGAGTGCACGAACTTAACCACTATGCCATTGGGCCAGCCCCTTGTTTTCTTTTATCTACTAGTTTTCAATATAAACTATCATCCTTTGAGGGTGACTAAGTAGGTTTTTTAAAGTATCGTTATTAACTAGAATATTTGAACATTTGGGTTTTAAACATATGTCATGAGTTGTAATTATTACTCTTATTTTGATGCTTAAATTGTCCTGTTCTTGGCTAATGGGAGAGCTTATTTAAATGATTTCTGTGTTCTTTGACACAACCCTAGTGTCTTTGGTAGTTTGATTGTTATCTGATATGAGAAGGTTTTCTCGGTTCATCTCGTATATTTCTTGCCTCAAACTTGGAATATGTCATTTGTTTTTCCCCCCAAGAAATCTGCTTTTTTAGTTGGAAATGCTGTTTCAAGACCATGATATCCGATGCTAGTGATGCTCGTTGCTACTGGATTGGTCATTGTTTCTAGGTCTTTCCACTCAACAGAGCTAGGAAATATGACATAATATGTATGTGGTCATATGCATTTATAACGAAAAGATGTGATATATGATAAATAATATGTACATGTTTATATATGATAAAATATCTTTAGCGATATAAAATATATTTGTATATTTAAAGTTAAAATATCTTAGGAAGATATACTGATACTTTCGATTCAAAATCAGAATAGCAGGGAATTTAGTTAAGCTTTTCTATAATTACATCTGTATCTCCTTTAATACTGAGAGTCCTAGTTCTCAGGGACATGGGATGATAGAGTTTGAATATCCCATAATTACTTGCTTTATCCCGTATTGCACGTGTAACAGTCTCAGAATAACACCACCAATATGAGTCCTGAGGGCAGGTAAAACTTTGCATCTTATTCCCATCCCCTCCCATTAAATGGTTGTACTCTATCTATATTGTCAGAGTATGTAGCCATTACATACTATCAGCTTTCCCATTTGACCTGTATAAATGCCCATTTAGATTGTTTTGCAAGTAACTATATATTCACTGCCTCCCTCACCGGTTCATTTGTCTCTCTAATCATTTTGGTTTTCTGAAAGCTTGCTCTCGAGATGTTTCCTTAGAAAGGGTTTATGGGAGCGATATTCTCTGAGGTTCTTGCATGTTGATAACAGTTTGTGCCCTTTATATTTGAAAGTCAGTTTGACTGAATGTAAAATCCTTGGCTCACATTCTTTCCTTAAGTATCTTAAATATGTTACTGCAGTTTTGCTATAGGCTTGATGACCATCTAATTTTCTTTCCTGTATTAATTATTTGCTTTTTTTGCCTAGATGTGTTTGTTTTTTCCTTA